AGGATCCGCCCTCGCTCAAACGAAACCTAAGGGTTTTTTCTACTCCGATTTCGAGCAAATACTCACTCGATGATAGAGACTATATTAGTCCGACTCCGATCAAATTGCTTATTCACAAACAAACGAAAATGAAAACTTTCACAAGGCAACGAAGTGAGTCGAATTTCTCACAAGACCTAAAGTATATCAAAATTAGCATAAGGCGAAAACATGAAAAAGTTTTCACAAAACAAAAATCGGAGACAAATCAGAAAGAAAAGGGATCTTTCATATATACGAGAGTATTTACAAAGACCATTCAGGGTCTTACACAAAATTCCAAAAAGAAGAAACAAGTTCTATGTTCCTAATCTTCCCCAGGAGCTTCATCTTCGTCTTCTTCGCTCGCACTCCCGGAGTCATCATCATCAGAGAGGAAAGCTTCGGTTTCGGCTTCTAGCACTTTCGAATTCTCGATATCAACCGTGAGGTCAAAGCCACGAGCATGAATCTCCTCGAGAGTCTCTCTCCGAGAATGGCGCTTAGCATGATCGACGATGGTGGATAATCGAACCTCAGCAGCATCGGAAATTTTCTTTGCTCGAGTGTTAGCGTCTTTAGCATCGGCTCGGTGGATGACCACGACCGCCTCTGCCTCGGCCTTTACTTTTCCGCCTCAGGTGTGGCTTTTGCAAGCTCAACGGACAACCAAGTCTCGAGCTCTCCAATTTTCTTGGCTCGGGCCAAGCTCTCCTCCTTCATGCTTTGAAGTTGACGTTCAACCGAAGACAGCTGGGCACGAGCCGTATCCTTCTCCGAGGCAAGGCGGTCCATATTCTTCTTCCACCCCAAAGTCTCTGCCTCTTTTATCTCTGCCTCCTCGTGAAGTTGCTCAATTTTTTCGGCCTTTTGCTGAACCTGCAGGATCTAAGTGTTAGTCGCCAATATCAAATTGATATTTCAAGCTCCCAAACTTTTACGTTCCTGCTCGATGAGGTCGGTCTGCTCTTTATGAGCTCTTGCCAATTCATCTCGGAGGTCCCTGATCTCCTCTTCTTTTTGCACATAGAGGAGTTTGAGGGCGTCTCTCTCCTCCGTAAGCCTTTTGAGATCAGCCTCACACCGGTTCAGCTCAACTTGGGATTTGGAAAATGCTTCCTGATGAAGCGTCACAACCAATGGAGAAATAAAGGAAATCAGACAATAGGAAATAAAAACAAACATAAACCTAATAACCGGAGTTGAAATCTACCTGGTTCAGGAGTCGCTGAGCTTCATCGAAAATGATCGATGCATCCAGGTCAGAAATATCATTGACCCCCGTGAAGCAGCTACGAAATAAGTATCCCCTTCGTGGGTCGTTCCCATACCGGCAGTCTCCATATCCCGGGCCTCCCGAATTTGCCCCGCAGAAAATGAAGGGAGGGGCGGCGAGTCATCAATATTGATTGCCCCAAGAACGACACTCGGAGTGCTCTCTCCTTCCCGAAGGACCTCAGAACAGTACCCTTCAGGAACACCCGCCGATTGTTCGTTACAAAGGACAGGCACACTTGCCAATTGTTCTTCATGGTGGGAAACATCTTCAGCCTCCGATGATTCGGGGACTCCGCTTGGGGCATCTTCCAAGCCCTCCTCAGCCCGAGGCTGAACGTCTTCGATTGTAGCCGTCTCAGCGGCCTATGGGACCTCGGCTCTCTTCTTTCGAGCCACTAGTTTGAAGGCTCCATCCTCTTCTCCCTCCTCTTCTTCATCTCGTAGCTTTTGGGCTACGCCAGCAGGCAGAGAGGCGAAGTCATTCTTCGACTTGCGAGCCTTATTTTTCTTGGTCTTCGAGGTATCCGAAGGCGAGACCCTTCTCCTCTTCTTATCCTTAGCCGGTTTTGGGGCTTCCTCTTCCCCAGGTAGGACGACCTTATCTCAGCAATATCTCCAAGACCTGCATAAAAGGGAATCAAGTGTAAATAAAAAGAAACGTTCCAGAAAAAAGCATCAAAAGCGTATAGGATAAGCTTACCATAATTCTTGGCCTCCCATCGGCCCCTCGCTAAGTCGCGCCACGAGCGCTCAACGTATATGGAAGTCGTAGCCAGCTTTCGAACCCAACTTTTGAGGTTCGAGATTGCACCGGGCACCTAGGGAACCGCTACATCATAAGAAAAGACATGGGTGAGAAAAGGTGTGGGTGAAGGAAGATTAAAGTAACAAAGCAATCGACGTAAGATGTTGATAGGTTTACTTACGCTTCATGTTCCATTACATGGGGAATGGCATTTTCTCGGCCGGGATTATATTGGAGGTCCTCACTCGGACAAACCGACCCATCCATCCCCGATCCTTGTCCTCGTCTGTGCTCGAGAACAATACCTTTGTGGCTCGGCGATGGAGCCTTATTAATCCGCCCCGATAGAGACGGAGGCTATACAGTCTCATGAGGTGGTCGAGGGTAAATGGCATCCCCTCGACCTTGCTCACAAAGAATCGAAGCAAGATAACAATGCGCCAAAAGGAGGGGTGTATCCGGCCAAGAGTTATTCGGTATTGGCGGCAGAAGTCGATAATAATGGGATCGACGGGACCCAGCATGAAAGGGTAAGTGTAAATACTTAAAAACCCTTCCACGTAAGTGGTAATATCCTCCCCGGGGGTAGGAATCACCACCTCTGTGTTTTCCCAATGGCAGTCCTTTTTCACCTGCTCGAGATTGCCTTCGGTTATCAAGCATATATACCTCTATATGGGCTCACATCGGCCAGGGACCAAAGAGGTTTTTTCAATTCTGAAATCAGAAGAAAGGTCGCATTACCCGAGAACGCACTCTTCGATGGGTGGCTCCACCTGCGTTTTACCTCCGGCCGCGATGAAGAGGCTTTGTCCTTTTCTGGAATGGTTTTAGATGTTTTCGCCATTTCTATGTGAGTTTAGAGAAAAGAAGAAGATAAAGTTTGTTGTTTTAGGAGAAGATCGGCAAACGGGATGTAAGTAATTTGCAGAATTGAGGAACTTGAAGGAAGAGAGCTTTGAAGATTAAGAAAAGTTTTGAAAATAAAGTTTGAGAAAATTATAAGGAGGATCTATTTATAATATTGCTATGACGGTTTGAAAACACGGGTTGACGACCACTAACTAGCACTAATTAATGGCCTTAGGAACTGTGCAGACGCGATGCTTCAGTCGCCTCCGCCGCTTACGTCACGAGGGCAACGTCATAATTGATCGAAATCGAAGACTCGGTTCGTTTCTTATCATTACACTCTACAAAACAAGGGGACTTTCTATATACGGGTAAAATCGGGCTTGCACGATTTTGCCATTAATTCGAGATCGGAGAACTGCATCGAGGGTCAGCCTCGTAATAGCTCAGGCTTGAGCACGAAGATAAGGTACTGAGTTCAGAGATCAAGGTACCCATCGAGATCGAGACCAGATGTGATCAACATCGGGCGGAACACAATAACGGAAAGGCAAAATATCCGTAACCGGTCGGATATCACAGTGGAAATCTCGGAATGGATCAAATCAAGGGTGGTTATTTGTTTCAATCATGGGATTTACTTCCCTAATTATAATTGTACCTCAATTAGGATTCCTCTAGTATATAAAGAGGGGTCCCCATCATTTGTAAACTCCTTACATTCATACAGATCAAAACAATATAGTATTTCTCTTTCTCTGGCTTATCAACTTGTTGTTCTTCAATTGTTCTTACTTTACTAAGCTCAAGGGTTCATCAACTCGAAGGAATTGTCCAGCCATTGGTTTGTTTTATATTCTTGTCAATTCACATCATTTATCTTTAAGTTAATCAATTAGTATTAGGTGAAATCACGTATCCTTAAAATCACATTACAAGTTTAATTGTTACTCGATTTTTTGGGTAAACATTCTCAATAGTGGGGTCAAGGGAGGGTAGTGTATATGCAGACCTTACCTCTACCCCTAGAAAGGCAGATAGACTACTTTCGATAGATTCTCCGCAAAAAAAAAAAAGATGAAATGAAGCAGTGCTAACAAGTAGTAACAACAACTTGTTAGGACTCACTTGACATACAAATTAACATTTATAAGGAAAGAAAAAGACATGTGAAACTTTTTTTCCAACTTTCGTTTTACTTAAACTCCAACATTCTAATTAATTGAAGGTTAAATACAGATACGATAAAGATCAAAATAAGAGTATGTCGATAACCAGGGACCAAAAGCAAAAATTTCCCATGATATATAGGGCATTCAATACTTGATTTAAACTAGGACTATACAAATTAAACTAAAATATGGCCATGAATGAGTCATAAGTGACCATACAAGCATCTGCAAATATATTACTGGAGGACTAATATAATATGCATGAAAGACCTGCCATTTTCTAAAATCAGTGCTAATCTGCACTTGACACCTTAAGCTCGACAAGTCCTCCACTAGAGGAAGCTTTTAGAGAGGAGAAGAAGAGAGCATTTTCAGACAAATGAAAGCATCTATTTCATTAGGTACTGTGCAGGTAGTTATATACAGAACCCCACTAACCGACTAACTAATTAACTTAACCAATAGGATGCTGCCACATCACCCTGACTAATTAGTGCTAACCAACTATTAACTAACAGACTAACAACACAAATACAAACTAACAATACAAGTCATAATACTCCCCCTCAAGCTGGAGGGTGAAAAATATTTAGCACACCAAGCTTGCCTAGAAGAAATATGTGTTGAGCTTGACACAACCGTTTTGTGAGTAAATCAGCTAATTGGTCTCGAGTATTCACATAGACTATCTTGACAACACCATCTTTGATCTTATCTCGAATGAAGTGGCAGTTAATTTCTATATGTTTTGTACGTTCATGGAAGATGGGATTGGCTGCTATTTGCATAGCAGATTTGCTGTCACTAAAGACTGTAACAAGGACTTGAATGGCAACTCTCAGCTCTTTGAACAGACCTAGCAACCAAGTCACTTCTGCTACAGCTGAAGCCATGCTTCTATACTCAGCTTCAGCAGAACTTCTGGACACTATCTGTTACTTCTTAGACTTCCATGGTATCAAGGATTCTCCAAATTTGATTGCATAACCTGTGACTGATCTGCATGTATTTGGGTATGCAGCCCAGTATGAATCACACCAGCAACTCAACTCAGTCACAGCCCCAACTTTCACCCACACACCTTGACCTGGAGCATTCTTTAGATATCTCACAACTCGAAGTGCAGCTTCCCAGTGTGACCTCTTAGGATGTTGCATGAATTGACTCAAGGTTTGGATAACATAACTGATATATGGCCTTGTAAATGTAACATATATAAGCTTGCCAACCAGCTTCTGGTCCAGAGTAGGATCTTGTAATGCTACATCTCTCATAATGCCAGTGGCCTTGTCATACTCCACTGTGGTCAACCTCAGATTGGTTTCCACAGGGGTGATTGCAGGTTTGGCTCCACCAAGGCACATATTAGAGATTAGCTCAAGTACATATTTCCTTTGATTTTATATAACACTAGCTTTGGACCTAAGAACCTCAATTCCCAAGAAGTATTTGAGTTCCCTTAGAAGCACCTGCTTGGCTTCAATGATCAAATCTGCATTGACCTGTAATGAGCAGATCATCTACATAGACCAAAATAACCACTATGCCACCCCTCTTCTTCAAGGTGAACAAAGAATAGTCATGACTACTCTGAGTAAGTCCTGCTTTAAGCAGTGCCTCTATCAACTTGATGTTCAGTTGCCTAGAGGCTTGCTTAAGCCCATATAGAGATTTAAGTAACCCGCAAACCTTCTGTTCCCCCTATCTTCTAAAACCTTCAGGCAGTTCCATGTATACTTCCTCACAAAGATCACCTTGCAAGAAAGCATTGTACACGTCCATTTGGTATAAAGACCAACCTCTGAATACTACTAGTGTTGTCACAGACCTTACTATGACCATCTTGGCCACATGAGAGAAAGTGTCATGATAATCAAGACCCTCTTGCTGACTGTACCCCTTGGAAACCAACCTAGCCTCGAATCTTTTAACTTCTACATTGGCATGATACTTGATCTTATATACCCATTTTTGAGCCCACATTGTTCTTTTATGCAGGTAGATCAACAACTTCACAGGTGTTATTGTCCTCTAGAGCTTTGATTTCTTGTTGCATAGCTTGAATCCATCTAGTATCTTTGGCTACTTGCTTGAAAGTCTGTGGTTCCACCAAGGTGGAAAATTTGGACAAGTAACTGCAGTAAGTTGGAGTGACATTATTAAAGGAGAGGTAGTTTGCGAAAGGATATTTGCTGGAAGCTTTGCTTGGTGCTATGTAATTTTTCATCCAATTAGGCTCTTTGGACTACCTAGCAGACCTTCTAACATGTGCTGGTGGTGCTTTTGTTTCTGCTACTTGTAAGGTAGTCTCCTGTGAGGCATTTCTTGTGGTATCTCTTCCTGTGATGTTGTGGCCTGTTCCCGCTCAACACCTTCAGTGACTGATTCTTCAAGCTCAAGATCATCAACTGTATCGTGCACTTGTGTGAGTTTCTATGTTAGGTGTCTGCACTTCCTACACTTTCTAATCTTGTACATTATCAGGCACGTCAGGGAACCAAGATTGATCTGTGTCCATATTTGCAGCAAAAGAAAATTCTAATTCCTTGAAGATATCCAATTCCAGCAACAGATAGCCCTTCCGTCTCTTAGAATAACTCATAAGAACTGCAGGTCTAGCTCTTGCAACAAACTTATTACCTTTAGGTAGAGTGGTTGCATAAAATAAGCATCCTATTACTCTCAAGTGTTCAGAGATGGAGATTTAGAGTGTAGAATTTCATAGGGACTCTTTCCTTTGATGGCTACAGATGGCAGCCTATTGATCAAGTACACAACAATTGTACCACAGATGCCCAAGTACTTAGTAGGCATTTGGACTGAAATTTTAAAGCTCTTGCTACCACTACAAGAAATCAGCCTTATTGTGGCGACCAATATTGCTACAAAAACCCTGAAAGTCGTCGCTAAATGTTATCATTAGCGACATTTGTGTTGCTACAAGCAAAACAGAAACTGAAAGGTATTTCTGGGGACAACAAAAGGTCGCCGCTTAAAGCGCATATTTTGCGGCGACATAGTTGCCGCAAAAGGTGAAAAAACCCGCTACAAAAATGGTTCCACAATAAAAATTTAGCTAGGTCGCCACTACTATTCACCTTTAGCAGTTACTACTATCGTTGCCAAAACATTTTCTCAGTGGCAAGTTCATGTCGCCACTATAAATGACTGTTAGTAGCGCTACAAAATAATGAACCATGAAAGACACAATAACTTTCTGTAACGACTGAAGTCGCTGCAAAAGAAATAAGCCAACAGTCGCAAATTTAACATCGAACCAATTACTAATATTTGTGACAAAATAATGTCGCCACTAAAACCTATCTTCTCAAACACTATAATGACCAAAATTATATATATTTTCGGCAGGAACCTAATTCTCTAAATTTAATGACTGGATATAACCAAAAGAATTTCTCAAACTGAATATTATAAATATTTTTATTACTAAAAAGCCGATTACATAATACTACACGATACTTCATTGTGAATTGTAATTGTACGCATATACATATCCCAGTAAGACAAAATATTAAGTTCCTTGTAATTGCTCCTTGGTCGACACCATCCTTGAACGATACCATTATTTAAGTTCCTTGTCCCTGATATATATATATATATATATATATATATATATATATATATATAATATATATATATATATATTATATATATATATAATATATATATATAAGGAACATAATGAGATTTTTTATATCAAAAAACATGCATAGAAAAACTTCAAGGATAACAATAGGGGGTTACTAAGTTTAAAGATGATATGCTTCTTTTTATTTAAAAAGAGTTATTGGACTTTTATATTCAGGACAAACTTATGCTTCATTGGAATCTTGTCCACTCCCTCAATTCCATTTACATCCTTCTCAATTTTTCTAGTAGATCATATAGATAGCTTATTTGCAGCTAGTTGTAAATTGCAATCTATTAATTGCTCCAAATAATAAACATGAAGAGGTAATAAAATATAGGATCTTTCTACTTAAGTTATATATGAGAGGAAATATTTGATCATCCAACAGGGGATCAACAACAAGGCCACTCATTAACTAGTATAAATTGCCATGAATCAGCACCAGGAGAAACCACACAAGTACCAACTAAACAAACTCAACTGCGGAAACCCCTTCTGTTTTGCCGTTCACTTTCAAGTGGGCTTTTGCCCATTTAATTAATTATGTTCTCCCCCCCCCCCCCCCCCCTTTTTTATAAGTTTATGTTATATTAAAATATAAAAATAACCCAACTGTAATATGAAGTATTACAATATAACATTATTGTAAACAAGCGCCTAATGATATTGTGAGGAATTCAATTTCTTAAAGAGTTCATCAAATGACACACACACGGAAACTGATTAGGTTCTCAATAATTGAACTTTGTATGTCTCAAACTCTAGCAGTACATTGCATTACAATCCAAACCAAATTTCTTGTGGAATTGGTAGCCTATTCCTCTTTGTAGGACTATACTATTTACCTGTATTCGCGCGCTATGGAACCAATCTAATCTAAGTTAAAATTATCATACAAAAATACAAGAACAAGGAACTGCTATAGTGGATTTTTCCTAACAAGTTTACATTGGAAACTATACATGTAACATCTTTCTATACTTGAGGTAGCGATTGAGAGATAGTGATTGAACAATCAGAGGGTTTCTAATAGCTCAGTTCTAAGTTAGTTATTTTCCCCTAAATGATATGCTGCATCTTTCAGGAACATTCTAAGACACATCTAAATTTTCTGTTAATTAAGTCCATTTATTACCAAATGATATGCTGCATCTTTCCAGGAACACTTTAATGATATTCAGAAAGACTCACTTTAATGCGCAAGTTATCAGTACAGATGATATGCTGAATCTTTCCAGGAACATGCATAGATTTTAACTTAGCGGGAAGATCAGCAGCCCTATGCGGGATGTGAAGATCGCCCAATGCTAATACCAGCGGGAAGATCACACAAACACTTTTATAGTCATAAGTAGGAGCGAAGCAGTAGAAACAGCAATAGCAGTGCCTAAAGCAGCTACAATACATATTAAAGCTATAGTCCTATTTTAGAATACTAAGGTTATTTAAGGTTTGCAAAGAAACAGCAGCAGCAGCCCCCTCGGGCCTGTTTTTAAACACTACATACGCCATCGAAAAATTCAGATTTCACATAAACAAAAAACAACCCAATAGTCTATTATCAAGAGGATGAATGTTAAAGAAGGAGAAGTTGAAAAGAAGATAGAGAGCAAGTGATAGAAAGATTCACAGAATGATCATATGAAATTTTCTTAGGGAAGAGTTATTGATAAGCACAAGCATGCTAGTAATGGAGGAGGCTGGACAGGTATATTCACTAAATAAAACCAGTAGTGTGGATGCAACACTGCCCAGAAAGGTAACTAGGATACATAGATGGTTCAATGGTCGCAATTTTGGCCCATTTGTTCTGTTCCGAAGGCTAGTTTATGTACAGATTTTGGCGAGACAATTTGGGCATAATGGATGAACTTTGGAGTATAGTACTAATGCAACACCTAAGTACAATACTTCATAAGGTAGTACATGTAAAGGTTCCAAGAAGATTCACAAAAAGATCATATGAAATTTGCTGCAAAACCAATGTATTGTGGACAGTGCATTTGATGATAAAGTTTTGGCGAGGAAATATGACCACAAGGGATGAGGAAGGTGATACAACAAGAAACTTGACTGTTTCTGCAGTCTTGTTGCTTTGAACTTCAAGCAACGCCCTAGTGATGCTGTTACACTACAAAGGTTGGCAAGGATCACAATGGTCCAGATTTTGTGCCTTGCTGACCAGTTGACATACAGATATTGGCAAACAAAAATAGACTTAATGGAAACTATGTGGAGTGAAATGTCATTGTGATACAATAGTATAACATCCCAGGATGGATTTCATGCAAGGATATCAACAAGATTCAACAGGAGGCTACACGAAAATTTGGGAGAGAGTTACTAGATATTTGCCGGTTTTTAAAGGTCCTTGACTCGGTTACATGGTTGTCATATCACTATAGATGCACCAGATACTCATCCAGTTTATATGCGTGGCAGAGACGTCGCTCCAAAATTGCCACGTCCTTGAAAACTTTCACGACCACAGCTCGTCCCACCTCTCCCACTTTTTTCTCGTCCAGTTCCTTTCATTTCCTTCAACATCATTTAAAAAGAAAATGATTTATCAGACTAGAGAAAATATTAATTCAAATAATAGAGAATTAAAATTAATTAATTGATGAAATGTTGGAGTAAAGCACTAATTTTACTTCACCACTGATTCTGTTATGAAATTAAAGCTTCAAACATTACAAATTAATTTCACTC